TGCCTCCTCACTGGCTCTGCGCGGGGCACAGGTGCAGCCCAGCAGTCAAGCCAAGGCCTGCCATTCCTGCCCTCTCTCCTGAAAGGTCTTGACTGGCAGGTGCCCTCGGCAGGAGCAGCGAACAGTTATTAATCCATTCACTCAATAAACACTTAACCTCGGGCCACCCTCTTATAAGGGCAGGGGGACGCAGAGGCTCCAAGTCCTGGCACTCATGGTGCTTAAACTCCAGGGCAGGGACCAGGCCACGAACAGATAAAAGTACAAACTAATGTCGTTCACGATCACTGCTGTGGAAAAAATAATGGACTGAGGGAAGAGAGAGACCGAAGGCTCTTTTCTAGACCAAGTATTAAGAAGATACCTCCCTAAGGAGGTGGAATTTGAGCAGAGTACTAAAGAAAGGGATGAACATGAATATCTGGAGTCATGTGCTGTGTTGGAAGAACAGGCGCAAAGGCCCTGGGGCAGGAGCACAGCAAGGAAACCAGTCTGGCTGCAGCACAGGGAGCAAAGCAGCCAGTTGGTGAAGTCAGAGATGTAGCCAGGAGCAGGACATGCCAGGCCTCTTGGTGCATAGCAAGGACTTAGATTTTATCCTAAGAGTGACGAGAGGCCACTGCATGGCTGTCAGCTGGGGAGTAAAGTGATTTTGTTTTTACAACAAAATTAGCTACCATTGGGCAGGAAAGAATTTGGGTGAGGAAGCCACTGCAGAACTCCACCAACGACCACCCTGAGGACGGTGAGGGACACGAGGGGCGTCGGCACGTGTGAAGACAGCTCATAGGGCTGGGGGATGGGCTGAGTGTGAGGCAGGTGAAAATTTTTTAAGAAGCCTCAAGGAACATCGCAAGGTCCTCGGCCTGAGAAACAGAGATGGTGGCACTACTTGGCCATCGGGGAGCCCTGGGGGAGCAGTGGGAGCCTCAGCACAGCAGTGCCCAGCTGCCAGCATCTCTGTCCGAGCGCGTTCTCCCCTGTGACGGGGACACTCTGCCCTGTGCCCAGCCCAGCTGTGGGAGCCTCTGTCAGACACTGGTACCTGGAAGCTGGTGTCTGTGCACCCCAACCCTCATGGGTGGGAGTGGGGAGGCGCTGGGTAACTCTGCCCGTGTGCCCTGCGTCACCACCTACTCGGCCCTTCCCAGCCTAGTGTCCCCAACTCCCCACCAACGGTTTCCTGAACCACACCCACAAACTACTGCACCAGAATCCTGGCTCTGGATCGGGTCTGGGACCATCTAAAGTAAGATGGGGACACCAGAACCCCTCGGATCCCTTAGGCCCTGCTCTTCCCGTCTGTGGCTGACCGCCCCCCCCCCCCTTTGGCCACGTGTTCTCCCTGCCTCCCGCAGAGCAGCAGGAGCAAGGCCCGACCATTCAGCCTGCCCTGGTTGACCCGGAGGAACCAGATGGAGTCCCATTAATCAACAAGATGGCCACTCGGGGCCGTTTTACCCGCGGCCTGCTAATAATCAATTGGCTTTTCTTTCCCGCCAGTCAGGGGGCCGCCCGTCCTGCTGTCTTCAAAACCAACAGAGAACTGGAGGGACAGGATCTGGGAGGCTCCGGGGACCTGTGAAGGGCCTGGTCTCTCCCCGCCTTCTCCAGGCAGTTGAGCAAATGCCCTGAGACAGAAAGGCACACACTCTTAGCAGCCACGTCGACTCCACTTATGAAGCTCGGAGTCTACGAGAAACTAACCTGTCGTCAGAAGCCGGGGGGGCAGGGAGACCTGACCGCCACGAGCCCGTCTCAGGAGGACGGCGCGTTTGCACAGTGACGTTCATGTGTCACAGATGATTCCGAGTTGCCACTTTTCGTCTTCCTTCTGTTGATGTGGACTCACTGCGAGGAGAGTCGTTAGGAAAAAGGAAAAAAATAAAAATAAAAAAACAAAAAGCAAAGCTATAGAGAGACCCTTTGGTTTAAGCAAAGAATGCTTGGTACAGAAGGTGGCCCTGTCCCTGTCCTGGCCGCTGAAGCAGGGTCCCCCCTCTGCAGACAGAAAGAGCTCAGGTGCCCAGTGACGTCACAGCAGGAATGCTGGGAGCTGCCCCTGGCCTTGGTCTGCAGAGGGGCCCGGCCTAGACCCAGGCCCTGGTGGCCCTCTACCAGCTGAGACCCGGCGTGTTGTGGAGCCTCTCAGAGCTTGGTTTTCTCAGGAGCAGAGTGGGGACGACACCCCCGCTCACGGGGCGGCTGGGTGAGCAGCAGATGGGCCCCAGCTGACCGGGCCTTCCGTCAACACCGCCCCCACTCTTCCAGGGGCTGCAGCTGAAGGCCACCTGGCAAATCGCCCGGACCCCTCAAAGGCCTCAGCAAAACCAGCTCAGTGGTCCTCAGGGCTAAGGGATTGCTGCTGGGAATGAAGGGTGACACCGTGGGGCGGGCTCTGGCCAGCCCTCTGCACCTCCTCCAGAGGCCCCTGCGCTACATCTGCGTCCCCGCCTCAGCATCCGGCACAGCCTGGCGCTCCGTGGGGGGACAGGCTGGGGCCAACCCCGCGTCTGCCCCTTTTCCTTTGAGTAACCTGCTTCCCTGAGCCTCGGTATCCAGATCTGCAAAGCAGCTAATCCCCACTCTAAGGTGTTGTGAACCTGAGCTGATGCAAGAGACCTCTCGAGAGCCGGCCCATGCCCGGCCCACTGCAGACACTCAGTACCGCCACTGTTATTGTCTGCAGAATGAATTCACAGAAAAAAGAACTCCATCTGATTGACACGCACACATGACAACGGAGGCATGCCTCACCGTGGCGTGTGTCAAGATGTGGCCCAGCCATTTCCTAGAGTGGCAAACACTCCGTCCAGCCCTGACTCTGTGCGAGCATTGTTCTTGACGGGTCTTGGTCTGTACTTGGGATGTGCAGGTGAACAGATCACCTGACTCACCTGCCGCCCTCCCAGCAGGCACAGAACAAGGAGAGTGTGGTCACAAATGACACCAAGGGAGTCTCACAGCATCTGCCCCTGAGTATATATATATATATATATATATATATATATATATATATATATATATATATATCATATATATATATGTATATCATGTATAAAATATGTATTATATATACACACATATACACACATATATATATGTACATACACACATGTATATATTTTTCTCCACTTTCCCCTGGAAAGAACCAAGTGACCAGGTTAGCATCGTTGGTGATAGGCCACGTTGACATTATGGACGCGGCCACAGCAGGGGTCTGCATGGGGAAGGGCCCGCTCAGTGGCATTCTTGCAGAAGCTTAGAAAGCCCAGTCTCATCACGAGACAGTAATGGAGAAACCCGAACTGAGGGAAAGGCTACAGGTAAGTGACTGGCACGCCCAAGGGTCAGGATGGTGGACGACACAGGGAAATGAGGAAGTGTCACAGCCCGTGGGAGACGGGAAACCAAGTGCAGCGTGGGGCCCTGACGTGGAGCTGGATGAAGTTCACAGTTCAAATGTCAGGGAGCCTCGAGGGGACACAAATTGACAAGGTCCAGGCAGAGGGTTCCCGGAAGACAGAAGGCGCACCCAGGAGGCGAGTGGTAACTAGGCGAAGAGACTTCATGGGAGGACTCAAACCTGAGCCGCGCGTTTCTTCTTCTTGCATTTTTAAAGCCTGGGACCCACGGTCTCCCTCTCCCCAATCCCTGTCCTCTCAGCTCTAACCCAGGGGGAAGGAATGAGCTGACGGCTTGGCGGGAGCCTGATTTGGACCTGACATTTTCATCCGCTATTAATATAAATATTAGACGACATAAAGTCAGATGGCTTTCAGACAAAATATGTCATTTAAGTGGAATTGCCAAACTGGGAGGCAGCCCTGGGCTCAGGATTTTCTAAAACATAGTCCTCTTGTTCCTTGGGGAGGAGGGGACCTTGGGGTCCCGGACATCTCTACCAGCGAAAGCCTTCTCCAAGGGTCGGACACAAAGCCAGTGCTGAGAGACGCTTCCTCGCACTGGAATGTGTGTGTGCATGCGCTTGTACAAGATTTCCGATTTCTAGAACTTACCTGAGAGTTGTTCCACGTCATTCCCGTTTTCCTTCACTGTCCCTCGACCCTCCATCCCAAGTGCTTCTCTTCCTCTCTCCACTGTGTCCATGTCCACATCGTGTGCGTCAGGGTCCACCCGACCCGGCTTCTCCTCCTGACTTTCCCAGCCTTCTGTTTCGGGGCGTCTGAGGTGAGATGGTAACAGCTTTGGGGCCGGTGGGATCCATTCCTTCATGGACTCATGCGTCCATTGGAGACTATTCCCGAGGAACACTGAGGCCCAAGACAAGCTCTCCTTTATGGAGCTGATATATTAGGGCTCGGGGAGAAGGTAGTCGGTGAACAAGGGAAGAAGACGCAGAGAATAGCGACATTGATGGAACTGAGCCAGATGATGTCACTGGACCTAGAGGCTACTTTAGTTGGGGGGTCAGGATGATATTTAAGTTCACACCTAAACAAGAGAGGTCAGCCCTGTGAATACGGGGGACAGGAGGAGAGGGTTTCAGGCAAATGGAACTTGAGCTAATGCAAGATGAAACTTGTCACCCCTTGAAAATGGTGTGTCTAGGTCCCTTGAGTGGGCCCAGCTTGAGCCCCGATCCTCAGGGCCTGGAAGGGCCCAGGGATCAACGCAGGAACATACTGCATAGTCCTAAACACAGAAGAAATAGATCCTAAACTTATGTTTCAACAGATATTTTGGCTGCTGCTCTGTGGTGAAGGGACTGGGATGGTGGAAACAGATCCCAGGCTTAGAAGCAGGGAAACCAACCTCGGAGGGTGTTGCAGTGAACCTAGTCAAGATGGCGGCTCCCGGGCTAGGTGGTAAGGACGAAAGCAATGAATTTATTTGCTTTGGAAGAAAAGCTGATGAAAAACAGAATCAAGATTGCTCCTGGGTCTTTGCCAATGATGTGTGATGGTTCCAGTCATTGAAATAAGGACCCCAAGACAGGAAGAGATCGGGCAGGAAATGAAGAATTCCATTTAGACATGTTAAGTTTGGAAGGTTTATTAGTGAACTGACTGAAGCCCTCAGCTCATATTTTATATGTCTCACCAGACGAGGGAGTTTGAGGCCCCAGACTTTCCTTTCCTTTTCAATTTCTTGTTAAGCAGGAATAAAGAGAAGGATAACTGAATAAAATGGCCTTTGTAAAACCCTCTTATGTGCAGAGGTTTGGTGGCAGAACCACATCCTCCCAGGCAGGCAGAAGTAGCCAATCAATCACCATGGCACACCACACAATTGTTCAGGGAGCAAACTAATTAAAAATTTAATCCCATGATTTTTATCTTAATCTTTTTTCCCATTAGTTTTGATCAATGCCCACAAATACAATTTAGCAGAACTTTTCATGTAGATAGATGACTGAGTGGGGTACCTAATGAGTCTGTTTGTTATGAACCCATTGATAACTGAAATTTATATGCTAATTACTGAAAACCACTGATGAATTTTTAAAGCATTTTATTAAACAAGAAAGCTATGTTCCCGTTATCAAATGAAATCCCTTGCCACCTTCTGCTCTCCAATTGTTCAAGCCTGTTACTCTTGACTTTCAGTGGTTTACTTGCTGTGTAGTAAACTTGGGAAAAGTCTTCCAGTTTTACCCGGCACTGTAACTTGGGCAATAGTGAGAGTTGTACAGATTCCATGAATTCCTCAGCTACCTGGGGACTCTGATGCACTCTGTCCCCCTGTCCCCTACCCACCCCACAAAATTCAGGTTAGAAACAATATATAACAACTAAGCAGAGCAGGATGTGGCCACCTCTGAGGGAGAGCGAGCTTTGCAGCCTGGTCCAATGCCACGGTGAAGGAGGCTGTGGTCTTGCTCATTAGGTCTGCCGTCAGGAGGTACTCGTTTGGTGACCATCTTTCCTAAGGACTGTGGCAAAATCTCTCTTACTTTCAAGTCCCACAGTGTCTATTTGCACGTCAACATCGGTGGTAAGCTCCTTCAAGGGAGAGTCCATTTAAAAAATAAAGGTCAAAGGCTCTGGTCTCCTGTGACCTTCTCAGCCCCTTTAATAGGGCTATTTGCCTTGGCTTTTCACTGCCATCTCAATAAAAGGAGGTGAAGAATGGGGCCTGCCACCCATGAAAACTACCCAATTGAGGCTCTTCATCCTAGACGTGGCCTCAGAAGCCAGAAGGTTTACCAGAAGCACAGTGGTCAGTGGATGGTAAAAACAGTTTAATGGTTAAAACTAAAGAGACCGGTATGTGGTTAGGTACCAGGAATCCCAGAGACTGAGGAGGCCGAGGCAGGAGGATTGCAAGTTGGAGATCAGCGAGATTCTGTCTCAAAATGAAAGGAAAGGAAGAGGGCTGTGGATGTCGCCCAGGGGCACGGTGTTGGCCGCAGTATGGCCAACAAAACCCGAAAGAGTTTCGGGGTTTCCGAGCCCCCCCCCACCCCGTGCGCGCTCCACGCGCCCACGAAGCCCCGGGTACTGCGCACCGTCTGCCCACGCGCGCCCCGTCGGCCACCATCGAGCCCCACGACGGCGCGGGGTGGCTTTTCATCACGAGCCTAGTGGACGCGCCTCCGCCACCCCGGCTCCATCCCTCCTGACCTCGTGGATCCCTCCACGCGGGACAAGCCGCGGGCCGCTGAGCCTCGGGGCCGCGGCGGCTGCCCTGGAGACCAGGCAAGAAGAGAGGAGACCAGCGGGCGAAGCCAGCCAGACCGCCTCAGGTTCCCAGCCTCTGAGGGGCTCCAGAGCACCGGAGAGGAAGTGACGAATCCCGCACAGGAAACGGAAGTCGGGCGCGGGTTCGGGCCGCCGCCATGCTGTGTGTGGCAGGAGGGCATTCGGAACCCTCGGGCTGTGACCTTCCGCTGCTCCCCGCTTTCCTTAGCGCCATGCTTCCTCCTCCCGCTCATGAACCCAGCAGGTACTGTGGCCTCGCTGCCATAGCCCAGAAAACATGGTGCACCGCCGTTCAGGTTTCGCGGTGGTGGAGGCCGACGAACTCACCCCAGGAGGGGGCGGAAGGACTCGGCTGGAGGCCTGGGGACGGCGGGCACGTGGGCTCAGCCGTGGAGGCCTCCAGGGAGCTTGTTGGCCGCGGTCCCTTGAGCTAGGGCCACACTGGAGAGCAGGGGAGGAAGGGGAGGAGGGAGAGTTGCAGGTGTATGGTGACCTCCCCAGGCATCTGCACATGTAGCCAGGAGGGCGCTGGGGTGACATACCAAAGGGAAAGCAGGAGGCGGCTGTGGATGCAGTTTGGTTTTAGGCATGTTACGCCCGTGGAACTTTCTAGTGGAGAAGTTCAGCAGGCCAGCCCAGGTGCCTATTCGGATCTCCTAGTGGAGAGGCCCAAGCTGGAGGCCCGGACTGAAAGGAAAGTGACCGCAGCACTCGGAGGGACCAAGAGATCTTTATTGCAGCAGTGAGAAAGAGGAGAAGAGAGAGAGCGAGCAGGGAAAAAAGAGAGAGCAAAGTGAGAGAGAAAGAAAGCCAGAGAAGAAAAAGCAAGAGAGCAAGAGGGGGCCCTGGCAGGAGAGAGTTTTTATAGCCAAGATCTAATGGGTCTGCAAGCCGCCTTGTTGGCGTGCAGTGATTGGATCACACAGCAGTTGCTAAGGGTGTCATCTTCTGCCTTCAGGCAGACGGGGCAGGGGTCAGATGTGGGTTTCCTTTGCACCAGACAGGTGGAGGTCGAGTGTTCAGCCTTGAGTGGGGTTGAGCGTTCAGACTTGACGCAAACAGGTGATAAAGGACCAGGCAGAGGGGGAATTTGAGTGCATGGGTTATCCTGCAGCTAACATTCATTCAGCCTGCCCTGCACCTAACACAAACCTAGTGGAGAGACCTGAGCCAGAGGCCCGTGCCTTCCTTCGTGCTCCTGGATGGAGCTGGAGCATGGGAGAGATCGCCTGGGGCAGAGAATGGCTGTGGGAAAGGGCAGGACCGCCCAGGAGCTTGTCTGCTTCTAAGGAAGAGGAGGAGCAGGCAGCCTCCTGAGAAAAAACTGGAGAAAGTGACAGGCTGGGCGGGCTTCAAGGAGGGGCAGTCACCTGGGTCATTTTGTCTAGAAATCAGTTGAGAGACTGAGAAATACCACGACTAGACAGACGTTGCCGTTAACCAGAGCTGAGTGGAATGGGGAGAAGGCGGCTTGAAATGAGGTGAGGAAATGGAGAGATGAACACAAAAAATCCTTCCAAGAAGTTCCAGTGAAGAAATGAGATAGTGGGAGGAAGCGTGGATACTTTATTTATTTATTTTTAATTACAGTCATGTGCTGTTCGGTGACAATACATTGTGTCCTTAGGCAATTTCATCATTATGCAAACATCATAGCGAGCATTTACAAAATCCTGAGTGGCATTAAAGATGCGTTCTGGCAAATGAGTTTCCTCCACAATAAGCTTATGTCGAGTTTCCAGAAGTTCCTCAGCTTCTCCCCATCAGCACTTGCAGACTGCACGCTCACTTTCACATTGTGGAATGAATAATGAGTCCTCCATCACTGAACCACCCAGAGCCAACAGTGAACCTAACGTAAAAGTTAGGTCCCACTCTTTCTTTGAACATTGCAAACAAACTTTTTGTTTAGTCCGGATCGCCATGGAGCTCAGACGGTGTGTTTTTGTGGATGTCCTTGGATTCGGGTCATTGGGAGTTTCTCCAGATCTGACGCAGGCCCTTCTTGAATCGTTGCGAATTTCATTCCCTTTGAGATGGAGGATCCTTCAGCAGCTTCTGTCCGCCAGGTTGTAGCTGTGGTGGACGAGACCCGCCTGACTAGTGAGCAGTAACCATCCCTGGTTTTCCACCTTGGATTTTATACCTTCCTTTCCCAGGATGGCTCCCTGAGGTCAGCTTGTTTCAATATCGATGAGGTGGAGCCAGGGGTTTGTAATGTTGATCATCCCAGGGCCAAATCGACCTCTGTCCAAGAGTAGCCTATGGGGTTGGATTTTAAGAAGCCAGAGTGGGATAGGATGGAGGCAAAGCACAGGTGGAGGGGCTGACCTCAGGCAGTAACCCTGGGAAGGAAGGTAAGAGATCTGTGTGGTTGAGCAGGTTGTGCATTTTACAAGTCCAGGAGGCACTGTTGAGTTCAGTGTCGCCCTGATTTTGAAGAGTAACCACAGCTATTTCCTGGAAGATGGTAGTAAAGAGCCTGGAGGATAAGGCCCCTTTTTGAGTCACATAAAATGGCTGTAGCAGCTATGGGTGGAGTTTGGTGCTGGAGGCCAAGGTCCTTCCTGCCTTGTGGTGTGATCTACCTGGGAAAGGGAGAGGAGATCGCTGAGGGAGGAGGAGGACGACTCCAGCTTTGATAACTGTGGGAAAGATGTGCATGGCCATTGGAGTTGGGGGAGAAGGCAGAGGAGAACGGATGTTAGCCACTGAGGTCCCTAGATCATGACTCCTCAGTGAGCTTAGGATGTCTAAAACCAAGGTCCAAGAGAGAGCCTTGTTCACGGTAGGGGTCAGGAGGGAGCAGATAACTGCACCCTGTGAATGACCAGGGAAGAGCCAGTGCTGCCCTTGGGTCTGGCACCTACGCTCCCTCTTGGTTTCCCAGGTTCTGTTGTCACCCTACTTGTCTCTTTTAAAATGCTTCCTCCCCTGGGAATCCAGTGAGTTCTGATCATGGAGTCCTCAGTCACTAGTTATGATTTCACAAATCTCAGTGAGTTCTGAGGAAGACCAAGGGGCTCAGCATTTCCTGGGCTCACCTAAGACTGACACATCGAGGCCTGGAATCTCACCTGTGCTGCCTTCTCCAGGTGCTCCTGCTGTGCTGTTAACTCTGGGAATGGTCGGTGCAGACACCTGGGACACCATGAATTGAGACAGAAGTGTCTGTGGGTGGTGGGCGGAGTCACCAGTGTTCATGTCACCTCATTTTCTAGGAAACTGAGCTTTTTGCCTCTCGTACCTGGGCAGGCAGATCGGGATGGACTGAGCCTGTGGATCACCTTCTCTCCTCCTGCGGACTTTTCTACATTTCTTTTGAAGGGCATCGGGATGCCGATCCTATTTCACGGGGAAATGTCTTTAATTGAAAGTGAAGCCAGGGGCCACCTTTTAAGAATGCCGGGGGGGGGGGCGGGGTGGGGATGGGGAGTGAGTGGTGCTCAACATGCACAAGGCCCTGGGTCCAACCCCAGCACCCCCTCCCCAGATATGCTTCCAGGAAGGTAGACTGGATTCACGGCACCCCCTTTTCCCCACAGAGTCTGACTGAGAGCCCTGGAGAGGATAGGTAAGACCAGCTGAAGACAGAGAAGTGCAGGGCAAGGAAGCCTACTTCTCTAGCTGAAGGACCAGGACAGGGGCAACTCGCAAAGCAGCTTGTCATCACCGACCCCCCTCCTCCAGCCAAAGGCCACACAGAAAATGACAAAACCAGTGAGCCCCATCCCTGCTGATGGCTATCTCCACGTTTGTAGAAGAAATATTTAAGACGATTAGAAATGGAAGAAAGAAAAGGGACATAAAGGATAATGTGTCCTCACTCAGGCTAGTAAGATAATGACACTAGGATGTGATATCGGTGTGTGTGTGTGTGTGTGTGTGTGTGTGTGTGTAAAATACCTAGAGCATCACTAAGGAAGGTATACAGAGAGGCACTCAAAAGCACTGTAGGTAGGGAATTCTAAGGGGGAAAAAATGTTCAGGAATCTCACAGGCAAACGAGAATAAAACCAGGAGTGAGAAATCAGAAAATACAAACTGTCAGGATAAGCCCTCGAATATGGATGATTTCATTAAGTGTAAATGGCCTAAATACACAAACACAGATTGGCAGAGTTGGTGAGAAAACCTGACCCTACTACGTGCTGTCTACAAGAAACTTTAAACAGATCTATGTCGGCAATTAAAAGGGTGGGCAATGACATTATGTAAACAATCAAAGGAGCCATATTCACATCAGATGAGTAAAGTTTAAGGCAAATAAAATTCCCAGAAGTGGAGAAGGACACTATGAAATGTTAAGAGTCAACCCAACAAGGAGACAGTGCTCCTAGATGTGTAGCCACCAACAACAGCTGCAGGATACAGGAAGCAGAGAACTGATAAACCAGAAGGAGAAATGGGCAAAACCCACTCTTAACAATTGACCGGTCGAGTAGACAGAATCGGCGAGGATGTCGAGGCACTCACAACGCCATCAGCCAACAGGATCCCATCAGCATTTATAGAACACACCACCTGCTGGCCCAGTGTGCACTCTTTTTAAGTGTCCTTGGGACAAGTACCGAAATAGACCATCCCACGGGGTTTAGCACAGACCTCCTCAAATTGGACATAGTTAAGATCATCCAGCGTGCTCTCTGACTACACTGAAATCCACCCAGGGGTCAGTAACAGGAAGACGGCTGCAAACTCTCTAAATACCTTGGAACCAAGCAACGTGAACAGTCCGCAGGCCAAAGAGGAAGTCTCCAGGGAAACAAGGCCACAGTGAACTTACTGAGAGAGAAAGGACGTCCCAGAGTCTGTGACACAGAGCTAGACAGCATGAGGAAATGTAGAGCCTTGTGCATTAGGGGAAAAAAAGGGGGTGGCTTGGCCATAGCTCAGTGATGGGACACTTGCCTCGCATGAGAAGGCCCTGGGTTCGGTCCCCTGCGCTGCAAAAATAAGTAATGAATCAAGGAACTCTAAATAAAATCCTAGGTTCTACCTCAAGAACCTAGAAAAAGATGCAAACAAACCCATCGCAAGCACAAGGAAAGAAATAATAAAGAACATCAATGAAATCAAGGATATGGACAACTGAGGTGGTTCTTTAAAAAGTTTCGTTTTTTTATTTTTTGACAAATCTCTGCAAGACTGGCAAGAAAAAGAAACAAATTACCAATAGCAGAAATGAAACAGGATCTTGCTCCAGATGCTCCAAAGCCAAAGACATCCTCAGGTAACGCTGCAGACAGCTGTGCACTGCCGCAGTCTGGCTGGGCACAATCAGGAGCCACTTGTCAAAAGAAACTAACTTTATTTTTAGA